TCTTAGGGAGTTTCTGTTATTGTATGTGTATATATGGATTTATGAAGGTGATATAGACACATTGTGAAATGTTCAGTCCTGAAGACATGTGTGACACAGAGAGCAAGGATGCCCAGGGATTAGGAGCACCCCTCTGTCACCTCCACACTAGGTCTGGCCACTATTTCCCTTCCTTTCTAGGGACAGAACACTATACATGCTGTGTTTTTACAGATGGTTTGATGTAAAGTAGCATGAAAAAGAACTCAACTTTTTCTTCTGTGCATAATTAAGTGTATTTAAAATGATTTAAAATAAATTATGAGTCATACCTCAGCCTTTCTTTACCAGTGAAGTGAAATGTGATGTGTCAAACTTGAGTTAAATCCATAATCTCCCTGGATGTGCTTTTGACTTGCTGGTAAGGAAGGCAGGCAGGCAGGCAAACTGGAGGCAGCTTCATGTGCCATATTGACATTCAACAATGAGAAGGTCAGAGTGAGGAGATGTTGCCAATATGTTCATCCCAAACTGCAATAAAGCTGTGCTAGCAACTGCAGTCCCAGCTGCCATTTCCCTACCCCCTGGGCTAGAAATGTGCCGTTCAGACCCGCTACTCCCTGCTACAAATGTGCCAGGCTTCCACAAAGGGCTCTTTTTAAATATCAGTATAATCCTAGATTTTAGGTTTTGAAGACAAACATCCCCACACCAGTTAAGGGGTTTATTTGACAAAAAAAAAAAAAAAAAAAAAAAAGGAATAAGAGATGACAGATGAGCTTTCTTTCCACATGAACATTACCAAATAATTTCACAGTATGTCCCCATGAGTATCATACGGTGAGTTTAGCTCTCAGTTTGGTTTTCCAATGCTTTGCCAGAGATGGTTTTCTTGAGGATGACCAACAGCCATTTTAAATATCAGATGTTGGAAAACTATCCTTCCCATTCCTGCTTACTTCCTTACTGCCAGGGACGGTAGACATAAGTCACACTTAGAAAAGTGTCGCGTCACTGTGACACCACACCTGGCCTACCCCATTTTCCCATCAGGGGGACAAACTCAGAGTGGCTACAACCCACCTGCACATGTGTCCTTTCCCAGGATAGGAAGGGGGCCATCCAGTCCACATGTTTGGCAACAAAACAAGCAAGCAAGCAAGGAGAGGTGGGGCTTTGGGATTCTACCCTGAACATTACTTCTCTATGATAAATATCCCTCAGACAAATGCTTACCAAAAAAAAAAAAAAAAAAAAACCTTGTATTTCTACTACTCACAGGTGACACTAAAGCAGGTAATATAAGAATCCTTTGGGGGGCTGGAGAGATGGCTCAGAGGTTAAGAGCATTGCCTGCTCTTCCAAAGGTCCTGAGTTCAATTCCCAGCAACCACATGTGGCTCACAACCATCTGTAATGAGGTCTGGTGCCCTCTGCTGGCCTGCAGGCATACACACAGACAGAATATTGTATACATAATAAATAAATAACTTTTTTTTTTTAAAAAAAGAATCCTTTGGGAACAAATGTGGAAGGAATCCAAAAGAGGGGTCACGATCACCTCACCTGTTATGAGACTTACATGTTTCAGCTCTGCCTTACCTACCAAGTGTCAATCAAAACAAAAAAAAAATCTAATTCTAAAAAAATTGGAGAATTAAAAATTAAGAATTATTTCATAAGGCCATTCCTATCTCTGTCGAGCATAACTCAGTTTGAAATGTATATTGGCTACCTATCCACGGTCTAAATGCTTTCACAGAGCAGCCTGCCAGAGGCCATTAGCACGCAGCCCGCACAAATGGAGAAGCAGTGCCCTTTCTCCTTCACCAGCCTTCCTTCCCACCAGCAGGTGCACCTCACTCAAGTCACTCAGCAGTCGGTGAGCGTCTTCACCCTCTGACTCCTGGGCACTGCCCCTCAGAATACGGTCTGGGGACAACCTGAAGGCATATTCTGAGAAATGAAGATGTCCGCTTTGGGTGTGCAATCACAAATGAGGACAGCGCTTTAGTGCTGTCGGGGCGGGCTGCATTTTATTTGGGAAATGAGGGGAAAGAATCTTTCCATGATCAGCCACTCCATGTGACATCAGCCCACACTCTGCTACTGACATTTTATCTCCCACTGAACAGCCTGGCTGTTGTAACATTTTCAGGATTCTTAAATTATGTCTTGCAAGATCTAAAATCAGAAGGCAGGGACTTCAAGAAAATAACCAGTGTTGACAGGCACCTTTATATTTCAAGAAGCTGCTACACCTTAATGCTGCTAGAAGTTGGGGAACATTCTCTCCCACTTCTTCCAAAATATGTCCAGAAGATAGGAGGGGGTAAGGACTGTCCTGAACCATTCAGTTTTCTTTTTCTAGATTTATATAAATCTCGGGAAGAAACCTTTTCTTCCACCCAGTATTGCTAACAAGCTTATTATTTTTCCTTAGGATAAAGAATTCCAGCATATGTTTAATATAAAAGAAATTAGAGCAATGGCTCTCAACCTGTGGGGTCGCGACCCCTCAGATCCCATATCGGATATCTTGTATATTCTTGTATATTGAATACTCAATATTTGTATGATTCACAACAGTAGAAAAATTACACTTATGAAGTAGAAACAAAATAATTTTATGTTTGGAGGTCACCGCACCATGAGGAACTGTATTAAAGAATCACAGCATTAGAAAGGCTGAGAACCACTGCATTAGACTAATCAAGATGTGACCATGTTAATTAAGGAACTATGATAATTAAACTTCTTATTTATAGGCTAGTACTGTGGAAAAGTGAAAGGAACAACAGGCTAGGTCACAAACGGCATATGCTTTATAATCTCCTGAATGGTTGAGTATCAGACCACGGACGAGGAAAACAGAGTAATGATGGCTACTCCTTCACTGAGGAGACAAAAGAGGTTTCAAAAAGGGTCCTGACGAGGCTCAAATCATGCAGCCATGGAGACACTGGAACTCAAACTGAAATTGCAATTTTTCTTTTAACATTATACCATGGCTTTGAAAAGGCAACAACTTGATTGGCTTACCATTAGAAACTGCAGTCTTTGCTGTCCATGGTATTGGAGCTGCTGAATACAAAAACAGTATTTTATCCAGTGTATACCTTGATAGTGTATATTCTGGCTCCAGAGTGCTTGGCCTCAATCCTTGTCTTTGTGGGATGAATTTATATCTATTTATCTATAATACAGTGCTTTAAAGTGCAGAATCTTGAGCCCGATGACTATCTCTGCCACTAATTGCTGACCCCAGCAAGTTGCTTCCTTTTACCGGGCCTTATTTTCCTGTGCTGTAAAAACAGAGTTGGCCACAGTATTTACTTCATAGGGTTGTTGTGGAGATTCAACACATTTGTGGAAAATTCTGTGTTGAGCTTAGCACAATCTATCCATTAGGAACTTACATTTAAAATGTAGTATGCATAAACCTGCATTGAGTGTGCCAGAACTTCTGCTTAGACGATAAAACTAAAAGCTTGCGCCATCCCTGGGGAGTATGAAATCAGCACACTCCTTTTATAAAGTTTTCGACACACAGTGGAAGCTAAAACCACTCCGCATTGCACTGAGTACTACGATAACCGAAAGTTGGAACTGCACATCTTTCCAGCAGACGGTACAGATTTCACAAGTGTTTCCAAACCACTGAAGTTGTTCATCCCAAAGAACAGAGAGGCAGGGAAGAGATGAGCACTCAGTCCCCATAAACGCAGATGACAGTAAATTCTCATTCAGAAGGTTCAAAATGTACACATAGGTGCCTTAAGTTTAGGTTAAGTGTATGCCCTCTGCAGCACAAATCCAGTAAGTTTCTCTCTCTCTCTCTCTCTCTCTCTCTCTCTCTCTCTCTCTCTCTCTCTCTCTCTCTCTCTCTCTCTCTCCCTCTCTCCCTCTCTCCCTCTCTCCCTCTCTCCCTCTCTCCCTCTCCCTCTCCTCCTTTTCCTGTTTTCCTGTCACTTTCTTGGCACTCAGACAGGATTTCGCTTACAGGTGTTGTTGCACTCGCAGCCGGCTCCAAGAGGTAGTTCTTATATTAACTGAAATTGCTAACAACCCTCAACAGATACTAAATAACTCAACTGGAGCGGGACCTGGACCCAGGATCCAGACCCCGCCCCAGTGTCAGGACCCCTCCTCAGAGTCAGGCCCCTTCCCAGTGCCAGACCCCTTCCCAGTGCCAGGCCCCGCCCCAGTGCCAGGCCCCGCCCCAGTGCCAGGCCCCTCCCCAGCGCAGACTCCGCCCCCAGCGTCAGGCCCCTCCCGAGTGCCAGGTCCCTCCCCAGTGCCAGACCCCGCCCCAATGTCAGGCCCCTCTCCAGCGCAGACCCCGCCCCAGTGCCAGGCCCCTCCCCAGCGCAGACCACGCCCCAGTGCTAGGCCCCGTCCCAGTGTCAAGACCCTCCCCAGTGCAGACCCCGCCCCAATGCCAGGCCCTTCCCCAGTGCCAGATCCTGCCCCAGTGTCAGGGCCCCTCCTCAGTGTCAGGACCCTCCCCAGTGCTAGACCCCGCCCCCGTGCCAGGCCCCGCCCCAGTGCCAGGCCCCTCCCCAGTGTCAAGTCCCTCTCCAGTGCAGACCCCGCCCCAGTGCCAGGCCCCTTCCCAGCGCAGACCCTGCCCCAGTGCCACGCCCCGTCCCAGTGTCAAGCCCCGCCCCAGTGCCAGGCCCCTCCCCAGAGCAGACCCCGCCCCAGTTCCAGGCCCCGCCTAGAACCCGCCCTGTCTTACTGTGGTATGTTCGGCTGCCGGCTTGATCCACAGGACGCTTGCGCATTTATCAAGGCGTCTTGGAACTGCCCTTCTTTAAATTAGCAAAAAGAGACGCCTGAGTTTTCGGAAAGCCTCAACACGGCCTCTTTCCGTGTTCTTTTAGAGGTCGTTTTTGTTTCACTGTCTTGAGAACGAAGTTTGTTTCCTGGACATGGTTTAAGAGAACATGTTTTCAGTCAGGCGCTCTCTGGACAGTCCGCATCCTGGTTCAGGGTCCCTGCGCCGAGCTTTGGGCGGGCCAAAAGGGAAGCGGGGTCCTTCTCTAGGGCGGTCGCACAGGCAGCGGTTGTGTGAAGCCGGGCTCAGGCAATATGTACTACAAGTTTAGCGGTTTCACGCAGAAGTTGGCTGGAGCTTGGGCTTCGGAAGCCTATAGTCCGCAGGTACGAGTTGTGCCGCCCCGCCTCTGGCGGGAGAACGGCGGCCCCGAGGCAGGTAGTCGAGGAATCCGAGCCGGAAGAGGCTTCTGCCGGCCGATCGGTTCGGTCTGCTGGTGTCTCCTGGTACTTAGCCACACTGCCTTGTTTCTAAGGCATATCTGTGTTGTCTCTAAGGCATATCTAGTCAAGGTTTGCACGGCACAGAAGTTCGGTCTGATACCCTGAGGGAGTCAAGGTGACCCCTGGGGTGGCTGCTTGTTTAAGATGGATTTTTCGTGGAAGTCTGTGGTGCACAGAATGTGACTTGAATTCGTGCTTCAACTCTCCCTTGTTACCAAATGGAAGGGCGGGATTGAGACTCTTGCTTATAAGGCGGATTTCTTCAGTACAAGGGAAAGCGTGGGAAGTAACACGCAAGGAGGCTTACACTTTCATTAATTACAAAGTAACAGACTTTGACCATTGGGCGAACTGACATCTAGGTCCTGTTTAGAGCCTACCAATGGTGTTTCCGTCTCCAGCCTCGGTGTTGTGAAAATGTGGTATTTTGGAGCTCCATTCACTTTGGGTTAGTACTGAATTTAGCAGCCTTAGTTTTGTGACTTGACTGGTAACTTTTTTGGTGAGCCCTTTTTGATTCCAGGCAGCAGTGATTTGGGTTAAATGCGGTATGTGTCAAGAGAGCACCTTTTTTGGCAGATGGTGCTGGATACATGCTATATATTCTCCAGAAACTCACGCCGAATCATTGCTCAGAGTAGCGCGAGAAAGCTTGGTGGAACACGAAGCTGGAAAACCTTGATTAGAATAGTAAGTGACCCGTCTAGGCTGTTAAAAAAAAAAAAAATACTCGGTTATTATTGCCCTGTGGAGCACACTGCATTGGTTAGGGGGAGAGAGTTAGAGCATGGCTTCAATACAAGATTAGATGAACTTTCAGGATAAAGGAGGCCAAGAAGAGCAGAATTTGGTTTTAGGGGAGGACGAGGAAGAAGAGCCTTCAGCTTCTGATGCTATGTCATGTCTGGTGCTGAGTTTATGACTATGTCTGTTTGAGCCCTTGGTTGGTGGGCTCTTTGCTGAAGGAGAGATCATTCAGGAAGTACATAAGGAAGAAAGAGACTGTCTTTCCATTATGAAAAGTGACAGAAATGAGGAACAGTCCAGCCAGGGTCAGAGGGGGAGCTAGTGTGGTGTCACTGAAACCCAGTGTAATGAGTTGTAAGGGAAGAGTTGCCAGTGTGCTGATTGATTTCTTGTACAAAAGATGTAGCGAAGTGCTGTTTTCATTGTATCTTCTGTAGTGTGTTTTCAGAGCACAGATCATGTATTATGCTTAGGGAGGCTTTGGCTTGTGTATGTCATGTAACCCACTCCTTTATTATGTGCAGATTATTAATCATATCGCCCTTAGGAAGGTTTCACATATTCTCTCCCTATTAAAAATCCCTGTCTGTCTTCCCATTTTGGCGTTTCTCGCTATAAATAGTTTTGAACCCTTTGTAAACCCCACAACATGTACCCTCCTGTGTAAGGCTGATTTTAAGTGTACTTTTGAGGTTCCTTCTGTTAGCATTCAGGCATTTACACTGGTCTGCTCTCAGGTCTTAGTATGACCCAGCAGCAGCAGCACCGTGGCTGATGGAACCACTAGTGGAGTGCTCTCTCTGTGCACACACTGCATCCCCTACAAAAGGCAAGCCCTTCTCGCCCCACTCTCTTTGCTTCTGACCTCCCACGGGAGCTCTGTGACCTTGTGGTGCCCTTTGACTCCAACCTGCCAAAGTTGTCTTCGCACTGATGCTAAACTGTTCAACCTCAGGCTACATACATGAGTGTCTCATCTTATAGATGTGTCAGTCTCTTGTAGTGGTTGTAGATATGCTTGTTAAAGTATTTTATCTTTTATGTGTAAGGGTGTTTTTGTCTACATGTAAGTCTGTGTTTCTTGTGATTGCCCGGGGCCTGCAGAAACCAAATCCCCTGGAACCAGACTTAGACACAATTGTAAACCTCTATGTGGGTGCTGGGAATTGAATCTGGGTCCGCTCCAAGAGCAGCAGTGCTTTTTACTGCTGCGCCATCTCTCTAGCCCTGTACATATGCCGTATTAATGGAGCTAGCTATAGCATATACCCTATTGCTTCAAAGGAGAGAGTAAAAGTTCTCTAAGTGGCATTGAAATAAATTGACACCCAGAGCAGGGATTACCTAAAGGTGTTCTTGATATAGACAGGGCTTTCAGAGTTTTTGGTATCCCTTGAATTAGATTTCACTCTAGTATTAGAATTTCTAAGTTACTTAGAGCTTTTATTTTTATAGTTCTGGGTATTGAACCCAAGGCCAGACAAGTGCTTTGCCACTGAGCTACATCTCCAGCTCATTTAAAGTTTTCTTAGGCCACATTGAAAGAGGCAGTTTTGGGTAAGCAGTATATGAATTGTAGATTCAGAGTGATGTGGGCACACGACCACAGATAGCACTAGGGAAACCAGGAGTGTAAAACTGACAGGTGTTTCTCTTCAGTAAAAGGGTTTATACCTGTTTCTGCCCAGAAAGCTGGGAATGGATGTAGTTAATAACCTGGCGATCCTTTGTTATCTGCAGGGCCAGGCTTCACCTGAATCCCCCAAGACTATTAGGCTTATCCCAGACTTGTGGGCTTATTTCTCAGTCAGTGGAACCCATTCTTATGGAAGGTCTTAGGTACTTTGCAAAAGACATGCTCTTATACCTTAAGCTTTGTTGTGATAATAGTCATGTGGAAACTTTTTTCCAAAGTTGTTCTGTGCTTAAATATGTCAAAAATAAACTGCTTGGGTCAGACTCAACACCAGCTAAGTCGTGTTGAACCGGATTTCCTTCTTGTCTCGCCCCATAGTTCCTCTGCCTGCTGTAGCATTTGCAGGCCCAACAAGCTCCCGCCCCCAACATGGCGCTCTGATTCTGATAATTAGTAGCATTTTATCTTCCTTTTGTGTACACAGTGCACTGTAAGATGAAATGTTGTACCATTCAGTGTTACATAAAGTGAATAAGTAGCGTGCATTAAATGACCAAACATGGAAATGCTGCTTGTGTAACAATAGCACAGAGATTTGTAAGTCAACTTGATGGCAACTAATTGTTGGGGGCGTATTTTATAGTGGCTGATAAAAAAGCATTTGTCTTTCGTTTTTGTGATGTATGCCACAAATAAGTTGAGGCATGTGAAAAGGTCCTTGACATTACTTGTCATTAAGGAGAAGCAAATCAGGACTGCAGCGAGGTACTACTTCATGTCTGTGGGAATGCCTGTAGTCAAGGACAGACAACAGCTTGTAGAAGTGAACACAGGGAAACCAGAAGCCTACCGCTTTGCTGGAGAGAATTTAAAATGGTGCAGCCACTTTGGAATGCAGTTTGGTGGTGTCTTAGTTAGGGTGTTGGTTGCTGTGAAAAGACCATGGCCAAAAGCAGCCCGGGGAGGAAAGGTTTGCTTTTGTCTTCAGACTCTCCAGTCATACTCCTCCACTGAGTGAAGTCAGACCGGTGCTTCTCAGCCTTCCTAACGCTGCCACCCTTTAATACGGTTCCTCATGCTGTGCTGACCCCCACCACAAAATTATTGCATTGCTACTTTAACTGTAATTTTGCTACTGTTAGGAATCATATGTAAATATTTGTGTTTTCAGATGGCCTTTGGCGACCCCTGTGAAAGGGACGTTTGCCCTCCCTCCAAAGAGGTTGTGACCTGCAGGTTGAGAACCGCTGCCACAGAGGAGCACTGCTTTCTAGCTTATTCCTACCTCATGGTTTGTTCAGTCTGCTTTTTTAAAGCACCAAGGACTACCACCCCAGGAGTGGCACCACCACAGTCCAATGTTGGGGGCATTTTCTCGAGAGTCCCACTTCCCTGATGACTCCAGCTTGTGTGCAGTTGATGTAAGATTAGCATAGGTAGTTTCCTAAAGGGGCAAAATAGGATTTTACTATATGACCCAGCAATGGTAGTTAAGAGGCTAGAATGATAGTCTAGGTGTAGGGAAAGGAGCTGGGGAGCGGGGGGAAGAGGGGCAGACGGGGACTATTGAGTGAGTAAGTTTGGCTGTGGAGGTGAATCATGAAGGCCTATGATAAAATAACTACATTTTATAAGAAACTAATTAGAGATGGGATGCAGAAAGTTGGGGTAGAAAAATGTCCTCTTATTGATGGGTGGCATCCTGGGGTGAGGAAGGCGTATTTGAAGTGACATGCGAATGGGCGTGCTTTCCCTGGAGACCGGGAGCTCCCGAGTGGGTTGGTAGTGATTTTGAGGCATTTGCAATGTGAGGTGGCAAAGGGGCATGGTGAGGATGTCCAGCTTCAGTTAGAAAGGATTTGAGCCACTGAAGAGTTCATAAGTCAGAGGTGAACAGATTGATAGGTTTCTAACATTTAAAACTGGGTTTTTAAAATTTATTTTATGTGTATTATGAGTGTTTTGCCTATGTGGATGTATGTATATCACATGTCTAGTGCCCACAGAAGTCAGAAGGCGGCCCTGGTTCCCCTGGAACTGGAGTTAAGGATGGTTGTGAGCCACCATACTGGTCCTTAGCCAGAACAAGTTCCCTTAACAACTGAGCCTTCTCTTGAGCTCCCCAATAAACACATTTAAAAAAAAAATGGAGATAATTTTCTGTCTCCACCTGCCTCAGTCCTAAAAAGTAAAAGAAAATGCCGAACCTATCAGCTTCAGGAGGAAAATCAGGTTTACTTTGCCTTTAAATCTTTCAACCGGAGACTGGGGAGGTGACTAATCCATTAGGTAGCACACCACTCTTTCAGGGGACCTAAGTGTGGCTGTCAGTACCCAAGTCCATTGGCTCACTACCTGAGACTCCAGCTTCAAGGGATGTGATGCTGTCTTCTGGTCTTCTCACACCTGCATTCTCACGTACACAGATGTGCCACCTCTGCTTCCATTCACACATACAATATATGTAATTTAAAAATAAATCCTTTTTTTTTTAATGTGAGCTGGACAGGCTGTACAGCAGTACTGCCAAACCTGCTATTGCTCACACTGTACTTAATAAACCTATTTCCTTTCTTGAAAAATTGAACCCCGTGACCTGGCACAGTGGAGTAATCCCAGCATGGGAGGTAGAAGCAGAGGGGCAGGAGTTCAAGCTCATCCTTAGCTACAGAGTAGGTTCTGGGCCAGCTTGAGCTTCACGAGACCCTATGTTAAACAAAACACAATTTGGAGCAGTTACAGGCTGGAGGAGGCAAGATCAAGCCCTTGTTTAGCATTCTGTGGCCCTGTCTTCAGTCTCCAGGACACATTGCTTCCTTGAATTTTAGCAATTAAAACAGGAAGAATTTAAATGTGTAAACTGTTTAGAGGTAGGGTTATGTACAGTAGTATTAAACAGTAAAGCCTGGTTTCACTTAGGTTAGAGAATTTTCCAGGTGTTTCCCCCTTCCTGCAGGAGTGGAGGCTCTGCCATCGTATGCTGGTTCGTAGGCTTCAGTTAGGAGTCTACATTTTGTTGAAACTAGCCCTGGTTAGTGCAGTTAGCAAATGTGTATGGGAGATGCTGTCTGTTAGTCTTGGGAATGTGATCAGTGACCGAAACATGCTAGAATCCTCTTGTGGGACTTCTGTTGCACAAGGGGGAAGTGAGCAAATAGAGAGGGATGGAGCGTGTTGGGTGGCGAAGTGCTGTGGAGGACGAGGCATGAATGAGGCTAGTGGGCTAGCTTGTTTGCAGGGTTGGGAGGGGTACCGGTTAGAGCTGGGTGCTGTGCTATAATCCTATCACTTGGGAGGCAGAGGTGGTAGAATCAAGACTTAAAGCTAGCCTGGGCTACAGGTGAGTTAAGGGCCAGCTCATGATACATAAACCTGGCTTAAACAGCCAAAAAAGTTTCAGAAAAGTTTCCCAGGGGTGAGGAAAGTACAAGCCAAGCCATGTAGAAATCTGAAAACCATTCCAGGCAAAGAAAGATGTTAGAGTCCGAGAGGCTTATAGGGGCATGGGGATTGAGTGGGCTTAGGGAGCAGGAAGGGACTGAAATAGGGGACTGAAGAGAAGGGGGCGCTGTGCCGAACCCTAAAGCTTTTAGAGCTTGGGGTTTGGTTCTGGGGGAGCTTGAGTCTCCGGAGTGACTAAAAGACAATACTTCCAAGATCTGGAGCAGCTGAGCGCACTGGCTGTCCTTCAGGGGATTCCTTGCCCCTTTCTGGTGGCAGTCGTGTGGTGCACAGGCATACTTGCACTACAGGCATAGGCACACTACAGGCATACGTGCACGGAAGCCACTTCCTGGTCTGGCCGGCTTTCCGGAAGCCCAGTGCTGCTTAACTGTCTGTCTGGAAACACGGGCTGTTGGTTGCTTTAACACTGCTTGGTGATTTATGGCGATGACAGCAAGATGAGGCACCATCATATCCATTCTGTTTACCCGAGGGCCAACAAACTGCATCAGCAATGGACAGTGTGGTAAAAACAGCTGAGCTCCATTGGGGAGAATGCACAGCTCGTAAGAATTGATAGTAACCTTAACAGCCTATGCTCTGAATTTTTACAGTGAATATATGAAATCGCTTAGAACTGTCGCGGTGACTGATATTCTGTGCGTGTCTGGCGTAGAGCGAGTGAGGGTCATGCCTGTTGAGTGAGTGAATGCGCTGCCCTAGACAGGCCGTTCCTGCAGCAGAGCAGCTGCTCTTCAGTGCCTTTGTTTGGTAGGTTTAGGTTTAGAATTAATGCCTGGTTGGTGGGGGCAATGTTAATGTTTCATTAAATATATTTTCATAATTCATTCTTATCTTCCCTCCTCCCTCCGTATTGATTTTAGATATCTGATCTTTAGATCTTGTCAGTTACAGATAAATTTCTCTGAGAAGTAAGAACTCCAATGACTGCAAAGGTCAGACTTGAAATGTCTTCCGAACATAGAATTCTATTTTTCCTAGGTAGAATTTAAGGGGATGATTTTACTGGCTTGTAATTCTTAATCTTAAACCTTAGTATCCATATTGTTTGGAGAACCGTCTGTGTGTGTTGCTTTGCAGCATTGTACCTCCAGATAAACATCACAGCGTTCCCTGGGTTTGGGGTGCTGGGGCTGCACGTGTTAAGCAGGTGCTTTCTCTTAGAGGTGCTGGCACGCGCCTTTAATCCCAGGGAGGCAGGGGCCAGCCTGGTCTTTTATGGAGAGTTCCAGGACAGCCAAGGCTACAAAGAGAAAACCAAACCAACAAGGCAGCTTTTATCCTAGCACTTAGGAATGGTGGCGCGGGTGCCTTTGTCCCACCCCTTGAGTGGAAGAGGCAGGTGAATCTCTAAGTTTGAGGTCAGCTTGATTCCAGATACAGCAGATTCCAGACCACTCTGTCTAGAAAAAGAAAAGAAAAAGAGAGATTTTGTTTTTGGTATTGAGTTTAGCTATGCATGTCTCTGTGTGGGTATCTGCACCTGTGTTTGGGTGCCTGTAGAATCAAGAGAAGTCAGGTGCCCTCGTGGTCGTGAGCCACCCTGCATTGGGTGCTAGGCACTAAACTCGTGTCCTCTGCAAGAGCAGCACATGCTTTTAATGGCTGAGCCTTCTTTCCAGCCCCTGTAGTTAATTTTAGAGGAATTGTATAACTTTAAAAAGAGAGCTGTCCTCCTCAGCTAGCACCCTCTCACACGCTGCTGTAAGCAGCCAGTAACTATTGCTAGAGTTCTATTCTGCACTGCTATTAATGAAATCATATAAGGTGTAGCCTTTTGCACCAGAATTCTGTGCGCGTGCGTGCGTGCGTGCGTGCGTGTGTGTGTGTGAAGCCAAGGTCAGACTAGTTCTCAGGAGCACACCCCACCTTATACACAGCGCTGGGGCTTGAGCTCAGCCCTTCATACAAGAACAAGCGCTTTATGGACACAGTGCTTCTTTTTTTTTTTTTACTTTTTTTTGGTTTTTCGAGACAGGGTTTCTCTGTGGCTTTGGAGCCTGTCCTGGAACTAGCTCTTGTAGACCAGGCTGGCCTCGAACTCACAGAGATCTGCCTGCCTCTGCCTCCCGGAGTGCTGGGATTAAAGGCGTGCGCCACCATCGCCCGGCTGACACAGTGCTTCTTGAAGCTCACCTTGGGCCTTGCTTGTCCTTCCTGGTAGAGTTCTTGACAGTTTGCTGTGGGAAAGCAGATAAGGGTATTTTGTCAGAGGGTTGAGAACTGCCCAAAGGCCTCGTAATGCAAGTAGTAGAGACCCTCTTCCTTCCCTTATATAGTTAGTCCTGTGTCTGTGTCTGCTATCCCAGACAGCCTGCCTTCGGAAATAGCTCAGCTGCCGAGACATACTCAAGGCTTGCTGTTGTCCTTGGCTTTTCTGCAGGGGTTAAAGCCAGTGGTTTCCACAGAAGCACCGCCTATCATATTCGCCACACCGACTAAGCTGACCTCCGCTGTGACGGCCTATGACTATGCAGGGAAGAACAAAGTTCCAGAGCTGCAGAAGTTCTTCCAGGTGAGTGAACTGAAGGGCATAGATGTGTGCATGGGGGGAGCTTCTGAAACCCGAGTTCATGTTAGTGAACTGCTAGCCTCCTTTTTCCTCAAATAGAACTCTTGCTTTTAGTTTGATCCATTAACTCCTAGAACCTGTTTACAGGTAGATGCCAGTAATGGAGGGAGGATGGTTAATGACCTCATGGCCGTGTAACATGCACAGATTTTCAGATCACTCATGTAGAATGGCTCCTCATAATCACTGTGAGAGAACATGGGAGTGCATGTAATGACACTGAGTCAGCCAGTGCCTACTTATGTGTGAGACACAAGTGTGTGTGTGTCTGCGTCTCACGTGTGTGCAGAGGACAGAAGAGCCTGTTGAATCCCCAGGAGCTGGAGTTACAGGTGGTGTGGGAACTGACCTGAGAGCAGCAAGGGCTCCTGACTGCTGAGCCAACTTGCCAGCTCCATGCAGCGGCTTTTGGTAGTCAGTTTTCTTCTGTGTTTGGCTTGTTTGGTACTAGAGCTCACTGTGTTGTAGGCAGAAGTTGGGAGCCCTCTTAGGTAACTCATCAACACAGAGAAGCCAGAATTGACACTTCAGTATGATCAATCTACTGAGAGATAACCAAGCACCTAGTGACCTGAGTGCTGGGGAGTGCAGAGTTCACTACAGCTATCCCGCAGGGTTGCCACCCCCACAAAAGTGTGTCCAGGTTCAGCCCACCCTGGGCATGGAGCATTTTCATGTTGCTCAGTTAAATCTGATGAGTAACATCTAAGAGGCTCTTGGAGTCTGTACAAAACATGGATTAAATATCCTACAGGATTGGATTATAAGTGAGTTTTAGCCAATTGAAGGAAGGAAGGCCTGCTGGTTAGAGATGGACTGGAGCGTCACTAACTGACCATGTTCTGACTGTGTGCCCCATGATCAGAAGCCAAACTAAACGCAGACATGCTCAGAACATTCCTTGTACCTGTCCTGGTTCAGCTGCTGGTTGTCTTGCTTTTTAAAAGCTTCGTAGAGTAATATAAAGTCCACAGAAGCATGGACTTTGCTGTATAGTGTTGCCTCAGACTCGCTGTAGAGAATGGCCTCATACTAAAGTTTTGAGCCCCATTTTAAAGGAAGGTAGTGACCAGTGTCTCAACACACTCTGGTGCATCACAGTGTCCCACTGTGTCGCCTTTAAGGAGTAGTTTCTGTTCAATCTGTTGTAAAATCTTGTCTGATCGGCCAGCTCATTGTTAATCCTTGCTCTCTAGAAGGCTGACGGTGTGCCCATCCACCTGAAACGAGGCCTTCCCGACCAAATGCTTTACCGGACCACCATGGCGCTGACTATCGGAGGGACCATCTACTGCCTGATCGCCCTCTACATGGCTTCACAGCCCAAAAACAAATGAATTAGCTTGCCGGGACTGGTTTACTTTGTGGCATAAACCCTTTGAATTTTCAGTTTTCTGATTTTTTTCCCACTTGGATGGTCTACTAACATTTTTGCAAACAAAGGAAAAGATAAAGAGCACAAGCGTTTCGGTTATTTATGAAATGCAGACGGCCTCTCGGATGTCAGACTCATTGGACAGTTAAGACTGTCGTTTGAGGGAGTGACACTGAGCCATATTTGTGCTCCTGATTTCCCTGGAGGCTCTGGATGGAAGTAGCTCACTGCCTCATTAATGGCAGAGAGCCTGTGCTCAGGGCGTCTGGAACTCGAGGCTGTGTCTCAGCAGGAACTCCAGAAGCCTTTCTGGGTTAGGTGTGACTGAGGGAGGAAGACAGCGGCTGGAGAGGTCCGGCATATGAAATGAGGGCTTCAAGTTAGTCTTCTGGGGGCTTTTCCACACCTTGTTGTGAGATGTTAGTAGAAATATTTGCAGTCTGCCTGTTGTTGGGCAGTTTGTTTCCAAGGGTTATTGCTGCACCCAGCCCCTTAATGAAATGTTATTTCTCCATCATGGAAAAGAGAACACTTGTCAGTGTCGCGCTTTAGATGGCTGGACCAGAAATTCTTCAATAATGCTATGGCTTTAAGTCATGATTTATTTGACTGTGGAATAAATACATGAATAATAATTTGTGTCTCACTCTGTTTCATTGGCTGACCTGGAACGCACTGTGTAGACCAGGCTGGCCTCAAATTCACTCTGCCTCCCGAGTGCTGGGATTAAAGGGGTGCGCCAGCTTGAGGTAAGATCCTGTTTAAGAAAGAGAAATGAAATAAAAACTAAACACCTCTCCCTCAACAACCTTAAGTGCTTATAAATTTTTGAGGGGATGGGGCGTGGGGGTGGTGGGATGCAGCACCTCACAAGCCCCTCCTCACTTCCTTGATGAAAACCCAGTGTACCCAATCTTGTGTTCTCATGGGGACAGGGGGTGTCTCACTTGCTAGGAGTTCGAGAGGACAGCACCAGAGACAGCACTCTCAGACACCCTCCCCTGATCTCACGTTTTTTTTTTCTACACACTCTTGGATTTTGAGGGTTTGTTATAGATGTAAATACCACCCACTGACCAAAACTGACAGAGCACCAGTCTGGGGCATTAACATATTTATAAGGCATTTCATAAACATGCCCACTTAGCAAAACAAACCACAGCAGCTTCCTCATTAGTGTCAGTGATCTCCCCAGCGATAGGCTTTTGATTGAATTTAGAGTGACAGGTGAATTTCTTGTAGAGCAGCCCTCAATTCCAATTGGAAAGCAGTTGGTTACTCCTATGGGGGTCATGCCACTATTGCACCAGTAGGCACATCTTGCCTGGCAGATTGGTAGATAGCACTCAGGGCCCACTTCCCCAGTCAGGTGGGGAAGGACTTGCTGTTGATTCTCCTCCAGCAGCCTGCTTAGTGTCCTCTAAAGCTTGCCAGTAGAGTGGAAGCTTCTGGCTCAGTCACAGCTTGCTTTTGCCAGATCCTGCAAACAAAGGGTTATTATCCTCACCAACAGGATCTTACCATCCAGTCCTACTGGGCATAAACAGCAATAGCAATAATGTTTTGGAGGCCTCATTGACTAACAGCTCATTGGGAGGTAACCTGTCTCCGACACTAGGATTCCCACTAATTAATCTATGACTTCTAAGAGCATTGTTTGCTACCCACACAGGGTACCTTCGTTCAAACTCTTGATTTAACATGGACAGTCACGGGATGTCGGAGGAGTTTTTCCTCTCATCAACTTCGTGTGTCATCTGTGCCTTACCAATAATGAAGTTCCCAAGAATTTCACAGCTGTGCCTGGTCTTTGCATCGAGTGTAAACTGATGGCCCATGCTCAGGCCTTTGGCTATGCTTCTATGGCTCTCAAATGCTCTTCTAAGTCTGCAAACATGGAGAGGTTAGCATCCTATCAACCAAATGAAGCCTTTTGCAAAGGGTGGGCAGGCCCACTGAAGGGCCACTACCCACCCTCCATTTCAAGTACAGATGGCTCTCAGGGATCAGCTAAGGGACTCGTAAAGAAAGTTGTTTACAAGGTCCTATTGTTTTCTCAAAAGGATCGGGGCTGAGTGTAGGTGGGAGGCGCAGCCCAGCTATTCTTCAGAAGTCCTGCTGTCTCCTGGGCTTGACTCCTGTTGTTCTGACTTATCTAGGTCACCAGGGTGCATAGCTGTGCTCTCAAGTGCTGTACCTGATTGGAGTCGAGCTTCTGGGACCTGACCATCTCTGGGCCCGAATGTGGCAACCTGCTACCTCTCCACTGGCCACAGTTGCCTTTCTTAAGGGCACTGGGGTGGATGAACAATTTCCACTGTAATTAGTGCACAGCTTACTCTCCAGGCATAACTGCCCACTCTTGTGACAAGCTTAACTTTTTTTTCTATTTTTGAAAACTTAGTTTTTATTTGTATACAAACAGCATACCCTCCCCACTTTTTGTCTTCTTACCCAGTCTCCCCCACCCTCCCAGAGAACTGTACACAGTGTTCAGGGATGGAGTGACCAGGAGGCCCTTGGCTCTCTTTACCCCCAGGCTGAGCCCCAGCTCACACATTCATTGGCAGACTTGGACTTGTGAAGGCGTAAGTCACGAACAAGGCAACACCAGTTTGGAGTTATGATTAATAGGGTGTTATTTATTTAAAGGGGAAAAAACTTACAGATCACAATCCCAGACAACAGCCATCTGCGCAACCAGGAAGGGAGTCTCGTCTCCAGCGGAGCAGTAAGAGAAGAGAGCGAGCAGAGGAAATAGCC